ACCCCACATAATGTTTTTATTGTTATTATTTCTGTTGTTGTTGTTGTTGTTGTTGTTGTTGTTGTTGATGTTGATGATGATGATGATATTTTATTTGATGATGATGATGATGATGTTGTTTTTGTTGTTGTTAATCTTTACCTGCTTCAAGTGCGGGGTCTGGAACTGGAGTACTGCACTCATAACTTAGGTCAGTGCCACAGTACATGTACTCATAACTGAGGTCAGTGCCACACCAAGGTAAAAGTAAACGTTTGACTGGCTCAGAACTGCACTCATAACTTAGGTCAGTGCCACAATACTGCACTCTTAACTTAAGTCAGTGCCACGGTACTGCACTCATAACTTAGGTCGGTGCCACAGTACTGCCCTCATAACTTAGGTCGGTGCCACAGTACTGCACTCATAACTTAGGTCAGTGCCACACCAAGGTAAACGTATGACTGAGCTCAGTACTGCACTCATAACTTAGGTCGGTGCCACAGTACTGCCCTCATAACTTAGGTCGGTGCCACAGTACTGCCCTCATAACTTAGGTCGGTGCCACAGTACTGCCCTCATAACTTAGGTCGGTGCCACAGTGCTGCACTCATAACTTAGGTTGGTGCCCCACCAAACTAAAAGTAAACGTTTGACTGGCTCAGTACTGCACTCATAACTTAGGTCAGTGCCACAGTACTGCACTCATAATTTAGGTCGGTGCCACAGTACTGCACTCATAATTTAGGGTAGTGCCACACCAAGGTAAAGGTAAACGTAAGACGGAGCTCAGTTCTGCACAACGACAGAACTATTGGCCAATTCCGTCTCTGTCGGTGACTTGTGGACAATGGAAGGGTGCTTTTATGATGGTCTAGAGGTAGAGTGTTTGCCTCTCATTCAATAGGTCCCAGGTTCGAAAACTGACAGCGATGTAAAATAGAATTTCTTTTTTTTCAAATTTTCTCCTTTCACCCCCTTCCCTGCTCTCTAATAATGCTCTGTCATCTGCTTTCACGTCAATTTTTCAATTTTCTGACCCCTTTCCTTGGGCTTCTGACTCTTCCTGTCGTTCTACTGCTCCTCCTGGTTTCTAACTGATGTCTCTCAGCCACGCACCTGATCTTACTTAGGGTAGGTAATATCGAACTCCTAGCGTTCTCGATAACAGCGAAAAAAATCTCGAAGGTCCCGTGCACTAGTTGCGCACGTTAAAGATCGCTTGATGGTCCTAAAAATCGATAATAGTAGGCTTCGGGAAGTGTACACCCGGCAAAATTCAAAACTAATTCCTATCAAACTGAAAATACTTAGTGTGTCCTGCCCTCTCATATGACCTTATGCAGAGTTGCGAGCACCGAAAAACACTAATTACCAAAACAAAACAAGTATTATAGAAATAAGAGAAGCACAAGTTTTCATTGAACTGTTTTACCGTAGAGTGGTACTTCGCACGGAGACATAACACTAACAGTTAGACAACAGTAACTGTACTGTTTTATTGTAGTTGCAGTGTCGTACTCGGCACTGAGACAAAACAGTTAGACAACTTCACTGTTTTACCGTAGTGTGGTACTCGGAACAGTTGTCCAATGGTTTTGTCAGTGAACTGTGGACATCGAAACATCGAAGAATAAAAGAGCCCACCGCACCATCACAACACAATCATTAGCCAGACAAAACTATCTCAAGTTTGGATTGTGCCTGTGGGAAAGAGGACTCCATCCCCTTTTCGCTTTTACATTGTAGGCTACGTTGTGTAAGATGCGCAAGCTTTGATAATGTCTCAAAAATCGCTGTGGGTGACATTTAAGAAATTGTGTGTGTGCCTGGTGAAAGGGACCACATGTCGCATTTTGAAAAATCCCGTTTTTTAGCATTTTCTTGTACAGAATTCATTTCTGAACAATGTGCTTTTTAAATTTTGAAGATATCTTCAGTAGTTTTTGAGATATGGGCGATTTTGTAAGGCAGGGTACGGAAACAAAGTTTTGAGAAAAACGGCTCTAAAGTTTCACCTCTGTTTCTGCAGAAAAAACAAAAACAGAACACCCTTTTTTCATAACAAGTCACCATTCTAGTAAAAAGGTTTTGCTGTTGCTGAAATATAATATTGTTAAATCATGTTCATAATTATTACTGTTTTGTTTAAAAACTTGATACCCCCCTCCCTCCCCCTTCATCTCCTGCAACATACCCAGGCAAAAAAAAGTATCTTCACCACAGTAACTAGGGAACTTAACACGATCAATCATCAGGGTCAGAGGAAAACTTTTTGTTCCTTACCCACTTAACAAGATTGCCACATATCCAAATCTTAGAACCCAGACTCTCCCAGGAAAAAATGAAATATTGTTTTGCATACATTTAGAATTAAGAAAACAAAAATGCACTACTATGAGTAAGCTAGATCTAAACTAGATCTAGATTTAGATCTAGATCTACGTTTATCAAGAAAGAACAGCGTAATGATAATTATTACTATTAATTATCATTACAATAAATAATTATTAGTTTGCTAAATCTAAATCTATTTCTATTATCACTGTTGTTTTTGTTGTTGTTAATCTTTACCTGCTTCAAGTGCGGGGTCTGGAACTGGCGATGGCACCACAGATCGAACTCATCTTCTTCCTCTTCTCCCAAATCGACGTCAGAAACGAAATAATCGCATATTACATCTCTAATGTCTTCTTCAGTTGCCATTCTGACATTCCAATGCGTCTAAGAGAATTGAGAAGAGACACAATTTCCTGCTCATGAATAGCAGTGCTAGATCTAGATCTAGTACAAGATCTACTACTAATCTAACAGTACCGGTAGTAGTAACAGCTGGCAGCTCCGCCGTGTTGTTGTGCTTCGAGACGACCTGACAACACAGTCGCTTCTCACAAACCAACTTTAAAAAGCAGCTTTACAATAAAAGAACAGCTTCAAAGTGTTTATATTACGTCTTCAAAACAAATTCACCACCACATTGAACAGGAATTTCAAGAAATACGGTTTGCACAGGGCAGAAATAGGCGATACAAGTTTGCTCTCCAAAGAAACAAAAGGGTATGGATGCGCAAAGTTTCGCTTTGTTTACATGTTCTAGATATTCATGCGCACTACCTGCCATTGGAGAGCAGAGAGAATGACCTAAATTTTAGTATGCAATGTGATTGGGTCGACTTTATGAATGGACAAGAGAAACCATCCGCAGTGTTTACCCTGAAAGCCAGTTTCCTCACGCATTTTTTGGGATTATGCAATATACCTCGGGTTAAAAAACACCTTTTAAAATGTATTTTAAAGTTAAAATAACCCAAATCCTTGTAAATATCAATAAATAAATGGCTGAAGAATCCATTTTTAATGGAACTTAGTTTTGGTCAAAAATTCTATTTTTTGAAGCCTGATATCTCGGTTTGAGAAAATGCGACATGTGGTCCCTTTCACCAGGCACACACACAATTGCATATTCTAGGATTTTTTTCGCCCCCTCCCGCCCACCTAGCAGTAATGGGTACCTGACTTTGAGCTGGGGAAGTAACGGCGACTTGGAAAGGAACTGGCCACCCCAACACATTATGCCGAAGGCCCAGGAAGTTGTCTCACTAACTAGGCAATCCCCAATGCCCGGATCGGACGCGGGAACAACTTTACTTTTTTAGGTAATCCTATAGGCTATAAAATTGTTCTTTGGGAAATCGCTGACTAATAATATTACGATGAATCAAATTCTTTTTTTTTAACGTTTCTGAATTCTTATGGGATCAAAATCAGGAGATGGTTTTGTGTGGGTGAGTAAGGTTTCGTGGAAACCCAACCCATCAACTCGACACAGACAAAACTACTGACCAACGGTTCGGTGTTATTACTGTTGTAGCCTCATCATCACCATCCGGTGCCCTGCCGACTGACGTGGGCGATCATGGACCTCCACTTCACTCTGTCTTTCGTTGCAGCAGTGGTCTGTTTTTCTTGCTGTTCCCAGCCATGTTGTCATCATGTCCAGTATCTTTTCCCTCTGTCTGCCTCTGCCTCTCTTTCAATTAAACTTGCCTGTTGTTACAATATTCTCCAATGCTTCTTTCCGCATTGTGTGTCCAATGAAATTTTCCTGTCGCTTTCGTATATTTGTCTTGAGCTGCCGTCTGCAATTTGCTCAAACCAAGACTTCTTCATTTGATTTTCTAGCTGTCCACGGTATACACAGCATGCGTCTTACTACATCAGTAGTAGCCTACAATGGTGAAATTGTCACAAACACACCCTCACTACCCACTCCCATTTTCTTAGAGAGTTGATTTGAAGAAAGTCGCTTTGAGTTGAAGCTAAAGATGAAACGTGGCATTTTTCCTCGGTGAATAAATATTTTAAATATTTTAAAGGTATTGTTTGCAGATAGATAGACAGGTAGACAGACAGGCACACACACACACACACACACACACACACACACACACACACACACACACACATAGATAGATAGACAAATAGATGGATAGATAGATGGATAGACAAAAAGATAAATAGATCGATCGATAGATAGATAGATCGATGGATAGATAGACAGATAGTACAAAAACTCTGTGTACCCCAACAGGTGTGGTGACGTCAGGCTATCGTATACGCGACCACCAGTGGACAGACAGACAGACAGACAGACAGACAGACAGACAGACAGACAGTACAAAAACTATGTGTACGTCAACAGATGTGGTGACGTCAGGCTATCGTATACCTGTCCCCGTGGTTTTAAGCACACAAAAAAAATTATGAAATTATGCAAACTTAGCCCAAAAATCTGAAATTATGCGATTCTGTTAATTTTAACGAAGAATGACGAAGGAAAAAAATCAGAAATTATGCAAAAATTATCAAATTTTGCTAAATTATGCGGGGTGCATAAAACCACGGGGACAGGTTTACGCGACCACCAGTGGACAGGCAGACAGACAGACAGACAGACAGACAGACAGACAGACAGACAGACAGACAGACAGACATTACAAAAACTCTGTGTACCCCAACAGGTGTTGTGACGTCAGGCTATCGTATACGCGACCACCAGTGGACAGAGATAGGCCGCATGTCGCCACAGCTGCCTCAGGTGAAGTTGGCACCCTGAACAGGTTGAGGTTTGAGCGTAACGCCTGGGCGTAATTACTGGTTTGTGTGTGTGTGTGTGTGTGTGTGTGTGTGTGTG